CTTCTGAACCACTGTTATTGCAGCGCGGTCATGTTTCGGCGAGACGCAGAAAGATGGGAATTTCACAGGGATGAGACGCCGTCGACAGCTTTCCCCCCTCCCTCCGTGAAAAAGCTTAGTTTGGCGCAGGCCGTCCTCTTTTAAGAAACGCCGCTCTCAGCCACTTTCTGCCGTCTCCACCAGGAGGGAAACAAAAAGATCCGTTGCTTTCACTCCCAACAGATGAAGCTAAATTTGGCTAGTGTTGCCAACTTCCATCTTGGACAAATCTTCATCTTCCTTTGGCGTATTCGAAGTACAAAAGATGTTGTCAAAATGTGCTGCGAGACGTGTGCGTCATCTCGACCGATGCCTTTTCTTTATCTTGAGTAACCAACCCATTCTGTTTCCAACAACAGATTTTCTTTCAGCCCAACAACAGCCCGGCAGCCTTGTTACAGGCACTTAAAGAATGACGTATTAAACCAATCAGTCCACTTATTACCCGTGGGTAGAGCTTAGTTTTCAAAACTCGATACTTATTTTTGGGATCACGGAAAGTGTCTAAAAACAGCCGCTATTTGATTCTTAATTTGTCAGGATTAAGTCAGACGATATACCACGTCACAGATTTAACTATATTCTGGGAAAGCTTCAGTGCAGCATGTGTTCATAAAACCAACCTTGAAGTACGGTTCTGAAAGGCATGGACATAGCTATTGATATCAGGTATGGATTAGGTACTAATGTTGAAGATTTATACAACTCTTGTCTGTAAAGTCAGAGGACAGTTGGCTTAATATAAATACCTGAGAAAAAGGGAAACCTTAGATGCAAGACGACTTTATTTTGCATTTTTTCACTCCGGTCGAAAGCCAAAGTGTAGAAATACCAGACTCTTTGTTGGCCCTGGATCAGTAACTTCCAGGAAATCATTTCTCCTGCTAAACTAAAAGTTTTACTGGCTTTGCCTTCATATTAAACAGATAGATACAAGTGTTTATTGATCTTATCCTTTCTTTCTCAAGAGAGCAGATAAACTACTTTCGCTTTGTTGACTGCTGCCATCCAGCTTTGAGCAATAAAAGACCAAAGGAGAGCAATCCTTCACCACGAGGGCTCTGAAAAGCAGCCTGAAGGCGCTGCTTTGGGCTGGGGACTAATAATTGGTGCATTAAATGTCACAGGTCTAATAAAGCTGTGGTTGCATACGGTCGGGGGTCTTGGTATGTTTTACATGGTGAATGAAATGAAAAGGAGTGGAGTGATTGGAGATCAATCGTGGTCAAGAAAGAGAATGCAAATAAAAATACCTTTTTTCAATGAGGTTGAGACCCGCGGAAAATCGATTAGTGGTATTAAGCCAAATGAATAAAAAAACACTTTACTATAAATGTGGCTCGTCGTCACATTGTGGATTTCTGTATCAGCCCATCTTCTAAAAAATAATCTAAGGCCACCGTTTTATAGATTTCTACAAAGACACTACACAACTTTAGGTAAATTGGTTTTGCTTTATGAGGGAAGCAGTTTGTTTCCTGCTGAATCTCCTTAATGACAGTAAGGCCTCCTCTTTGCAGGCAGTAATTCTTGGACAAACACAAGTCACCTTTGACTGGTTAGGAATGTTATCAGGGTCCATATACTCTACCTTAGCTTGAGGAAGGAAAGATCTCAGACTTAAAATGTTTCCCCAACAGCTGTTTGCTGCATCACTCTTTCTCTCTCTCTGTTTACCCCCCACACTGGAGTCAGCAGCCAGACTCGGGAGTGCTATCTGAACTATCTATGCCTCCTCCGTTTGTCTCTTTCATCAGGAGCAGGAGCGACATCAGGGACAGCTTTCCCTTAGACAAGCAGTAAAAAAAAGAAACGCTGCCGTGATTAAGATAGATAGATAGACTAGCCTGGACACTTAATCTTCTGTCCAATGAAAAATGTTAACTGCATCCTGATGTTCCCCCCCATGCAGTGCAATTGGGCTTAATTACCGCTGTGTGTTTAAGTGTCCCCTCTGAACTGTCTGCGCCAATTCTTTCCTGCTAATCTTTTGCTAGTTGCTCGCGTCCAATATCTTTTAAACAAAATGCCTCCAGGGAAATTTGAAGGGTAGCTGCACTCTTAAACATGTTTTATGTGAAAGACATCAATGTTGGTGTTAAAAACAATAAATATTTCATCCAAACACCATGTAATCTAATCATCTAATTGTGCATTCTGCCCATTCTGGGGTAGTCGACCGTTTGGGACCAATTTACTATTGGGGATAGAGTCTTCTTCCCTTCGCTGTGACAAGAGTGAAGCATTCGGGTGTTCCGTTTTCATTTAATTTAATGCCTGGCTAGATGGCTAAGAGCAGAGGGCCGGTGGCTAGCAGCATAGGGCTGGTGGCTAGCAGCATAGGGCTGGTGGCTAGCAGCAGAGTGCTGGTGGCTAGCAGCATAGGGCTGGTGGCTAGCAGCAGAGTGCTGGTGGCTAGCAGCATAGGGCTGGTGGCTAGCAGCATAGGGCTTGTGGCTAGCAGCATAGGGCTGGTGGCTAGCAGCATAGGGCTGGTGGCTAGCAGCATAGGGCTTGTGGCTAGCAGCATAGGGCTGGTGGCTAGCAGCATAGGGCTGGTGGATAGCAGCATAGGGCTGGTGGCTAGCAGCAGAGTGCTGGTGGCTAGCAGCATAGGGCTGGTGGCTAGCAGCAGAGTGCTGGTGGCTAGCAGCATAGGGCTGGTGGCTAGCAGCAGAGTGCTAGTGGCTAGCAGCATAGGGCTGGCACGGGGGTGAAGTTTGATTTGATTTGATTCATCCCCCAATTTCTAAATATAATGTGCTATAAACTATTATTAGACCAAAATCCTAAAATGTATTCAGCGCTGGATGAAAAATGTCTGCGGCCCAGTAAGCCTCCAGAGTGTCAAGGAAAGAGGCATGGCTGGTGGTGATGGCAGACGCTTTCACAGTCTGAGGAGAGAGTTACTCAAGGGGTCTCATTAGTCAAACCTTCAGTCTACCAACGCCACCGTTCTGTTTTCATAGTATCACTTGTACTATCACAGACGGACGAGGTCCACTGAGCAAAGATAAAGCCGGTGTTATTTCACCCCTGGCCTTTCTTGACACATTGATCGCTTTTGGGAGCCATGCAGAAACATACGCAGGTTTGGAGAGTTTAAATAGGTAGCTGGTGCTGAAACTCATCAATAAAAGAGAAAAAGGGCGAGTTTTTGCAGCTTATTTTAGCCGCATAAAAGATCGTACATACACACACGCAGAAACCATGTACACCATGTTTTAGACCTCGATATACACCATACAGTGAGTTCCTCCTCAGAACTCCAATAAAGGCCGGTATATTTTGTACATTCCAATGATATTACACATTCTGCCATGTAAACTCGAAAAAACCTCTCATACAATATTTCATTTGCATTTCTATCTTTGTTTTGTGGTTGAGTGTACCTCCTAAATTGCAAACTCAATCAACATCTCGCTGTAAGACGCCGCGACCAACGCCTGGGTAATTGATGAGGAATGACTATTTCCTCCGACCTGAGGAGTGAAAAGTTTACCGAGAGTAAATGAAAAGCAGGCGCACAGGGGAGAAGCTCAGACACGTTTGGGTGGACACGCTGATTGCTAATGGATAGACTCGGGTGGTATTCCCCGGTTCCACTGTAGTCCATTATATCCATGGGGTGTTATCCGTGCACGCCGTTGCTTTGTCGGAAAAATAATAAACCATTAGCTTTACGCAATGAATCAGATTGATCCTGCTAATCTTTACTTTGAGAACAACATTGTGGGAAGTTGAGGAGCTGGGGCTGCCCAATCTGGAGGTTTGTTTATTTGATTCATGTATTCATCTCAGTGAGATAGTCTTGCTCTCTTTGGAGACACAAAGTCTAAAAGCTTATAAAAGCAGAGTGCCTGCCAAGCCGTATCAGTGATGGCCTCACGATGATTCACAGCTCATTAACATTAAAGTAGAGCCATATTTGGACACGGGAAACACCTCGGTGGATCTATAAATACATTGTAATTTAGCTGGTCAAGAGTCAATAAATAGCAGTTAGCTGCATGAAATAGAAAGATAATTAGATATTCTGTAGAAAAATAAAACGGGTTAGGGACTTTTTTCTTTGCTTAAATGGGGGTCTGGATATTCAAGTTATGTCCTAGACTTGAATAAATAAAGGGAGCATTCTCTTTCTCTGTCTTTTTCTTCTTTCGGCCGTCTCCAGGGACTCTCTCTGACTTCCTGCCATTAAAGAGACAGCCCACTGGAGAGCAGGGGGTGACTGACATATAACTACCTCTGCTCTATGGCCGCCGCGCTGCGCAACTCAAACGGACATCTGTGGAATTTGCTCAAAGGGCAATTTACTCAGGAAGAAATGAAGAGAAAGATAAGAAACATTGATGGATTTCTGGACACATACGGAGCAACAAACGAGAGGGGATGCAACGTTACAAGAAGTCAGTGGGGGCTAAGGAAAAAAAAAACCTCAGACAGCTGTGAGACATCCAGGACAAAAAGTTGGATTCAGATAATATACACAGTTACATAAGAGCAAAGCAGGGTTTGTTGTTGACTCTCTCTTCTCCACACATTTGTCATGACATTATCGGGTGTGAAGAAACACAGCCGTTCCGCGAATTGACCACAATGTAACAAATCACGACGTCAAGGGCATCGCACCGCATCACACAGACAAATCTCAACCTCCGGTTGCACATAAAACCTCCCTTACCACAAACACTGTGACAAACAACGTGTGGACCGGGAGAGAACCGCGTTGCAGGTTTTAGTCTGGGAGCCCGGTCCAGAAACCAGAGCGAGTTATCTTGTGAAGCCACAGGCAGACACTCTGCGGAGACCTCACACGCTCACACTCTACACTACGGCGTGACCACCTCTAAAGAGACAGACCCGAGTAACTGTTTGGCGTTCCGTCGTTTTTTTTTTTTAAATGACCCTGTTGGTCGACTTAGTTTGCAGCTGCGTTTGAACCCCCCTCCCCTCCTTACCTTTTGCAGCCACTGGGTATAATTCTCCATAATGTGCTCGAGCTGCTGGATCTTCTGGCTGGCGAACTCGGGCTCCGGCGGTGGGGCGTCTCTCTGGAGGGAGTTGCCTTTGTGCTGCGGGCCACCGGCCTTGGCCTCCCTGCAGGCGCCTCCTCTGCCTCCCTCGCCCTCGGGCAGGATGAACGTGTAGGTGCACTGGCCATGCTGGATCTTGTGAAAGCGTCGGCTACTGCTTCCTCCAGAACTGCTGCTGCCACCTGTGCTGCTGGTGCTGCTACTGCTGCTGCTGCTGCTGCTGCTGCTATCCGTCCCTCTGCGCTGCTCCCCTCCTCCGCAGCTCACTATCACCAGAAGCGCTGCCAGGGAGAACAAGTGGGGGCCCAAGCCGTACCACAGCATCGTACAGGCCTGGGGTCGGAGCTCCAGGTGAGCCGGGTTCTGGTGTCTTTAGTCGGCCCTTCTTCGTCTCGGCCAAATGTTCCCTTGAAAAGCTGGATCAGAAAGCGGCGGAGTGCATTTTTAGCCTGTGTCATCCATCCTTACAGCTACAGTTTCTCTCAACGTGGACATTTACGCATGCTGCGTCTCCGAAGCTCCTTTAAGTTCTTGTCCCGGCGGGAAAAGTTGTACACATGTCTTGCAGAGCGACAGCTTGGTTACAGACCTGATGCTCCTCCAGTAAATCAAATACTGGGCGCGTGCATTTATCGATCTGCGCCTTTCCAATAGGTGGAAGCTGCGACGGTGTTGTCAGACCTCCCCTGGTCTCTCTGCCTTCCCGTCCTGCTCTGCTCTCTGACTCAACGACTGAGCAGAGCGAGAGGGACGCTCACTGAAGAACAAGCTCCAAGCTTTTCAGAGCACTGTGCGCCTGCCCCTCGCAGAGCCTGCAGAGGAATGCGTGTGTGTGTGTGCACGAACGAGCGTGCGTGTGCGCGCGTGTGTGTGTGTGTGAGCCTGGCAAAAAAGGGACCCCAGCACAGAGGATGTGCTTAGACTATGAGGATCGGTTTACAGGCACTGCTGGCTGCTGGCTCATGTGGCCGACCTGCCTGTGTGTTGACACAAAAGAATTCAAGATACGACTTCAATCCCCTTCGTACTGTACCGTGACAGGTGCTGAATCACAAGTACATACGAGGGAGGGGCGCTTTTAGGTGTTTTTAGAATCTTGTTTTCAACTACTCTCGTGTCAACCTGCCGGGGATACAAGTCCATCATGGCAACTGAGATCTCCTCTCTGTTACAGCCATATCACGTTTTAGCATTTAGCATTCTACTCTTTGAAGTAGTTTGCGTTGTCAGCGGCGCAGTGACGCCAAGGAACGCAAGTGCGTGCAGGTACTGAATTCATTTTGGGAACGTATATTTTCTCAGCAGATCTACATAATGCCCATGAAACTGAGAAAATATACACAACTTACTGGTCGTCTTTTCCCAGTGATCGTATAATGCGCCTTTGGCAAATGTGGGACTTCTTAACATTACCAGCAGTCACCACAGGTGTCGCCAAAACGACATGAACTGAAATCTGAAAACGAGAACTCCACCTATTTAGCGCTGCACTCCTCTAGGATCGCTGGCATAATCAACGGTTAAAAGAGGAATTTAGTTTATTTATTTCCAACATTTATCTTTCCTTGCCCACATCTTATCCACAATGCGACTCAACCACTAACACATAACAGATTTGGGCGGGTAAACTCACTTCCTACACCACCTGATCCGACTCGAGTGACATCACTCGATGCATTTCTCAGTCCAAACTTCAGCCTTTAAAGAAAAAGCAGAACTAATTTTGATGTGGGATTCTGCAAAACACTGCAGAAAGCTTTGATTCTGATTTATTCTCTAGCCGTCATCCACCACTGGATTATATGAGATGTCCGTACCTACGCTCATTCCTGCCGGCTGCAGCACGCCGCTATCACACCCGACCCTCTGCTGTTATGTTTTGAGGAAAACAAAAGCGAAATCCAAGAATGAGCAGTCAAAGAAGGAATGTCTTCATCATTAGGCCAGAAGAAGGAGCAGAGTGAGGGAACACAGCGCTGAAAGGCTCTGGGTCGAAGGTCAAGTCCTTGTTATGAACAGTCCATTAAAAATCTCTGATTCGGGGAGACACAGCTGTCTTAAAATATGGCCGGACTTCAACATTCCTCTCGGGTCCAAAACATCCAAATCTGTGGGTCAGTGCATGTGCTCGCGTATGGTGCGCAGTGCCTGCCCCGTGTTCACATTGTTATAATGAATGAACCGCACGGTCCCGTGTGTGTGTGTGTGTGTGTGTGTGTGTGTGGTTGATGGAGTGTGTGTATTCGGTGATAGCAGGGCGCTCTGTGTGGGAGCTGAGGGGCGTTCATGAACGCATGAAGGAGACCCGAGATAAACAACCCGGACCGGCCGAGACACAAAGCATGAGCCAGTGTCTCGCGGGGCGCTCGGCTCCGGTGGACGTACATTGACATTGTCCTAAAATCGCTGGCGCCAGTTACCGTTGTCCAAGGGAAACGAAGAGCGCGATAATCTGCACCCCTGCTTGTCAAATGAAAACCACCCCATCGATTCTGTAAAGAGCTACTGAAAAGACTCCCTGGGGAAAAGATGCAACACCGGTCTTCTAGTTTGCTACACCTGCTCCCCTGCACACTCTGCACGTACTGGATGAGCCCTCAAGTGGCAATTTAATTTGAACTCTTTTTGTTCAAGATTCTTGTTTTAAAAAGTTTGCGACGGAGTGCCGGGGCAACTGTGAGCGAGCATGGCTGATACAAGTTTACCTTTCATATCAGCCCATAGTTATCTGGTAGAAATGAGGTACTTAAGTCTAGAATATGACTATGGGTAGTGTTTAGTTGATCCGTGATATGTAGGGTTATCTCGTAACAGTGGAAAAAAAGGCAAAAAGGCAAAAAGTTTGATATAGGACCGGTTGGTTTTTCTCAAAACCGTGACCTTTGTGAGTTTGTGACATCGAGCAGGAAATGGACCTTCAGTATTCAGTATATCAAAGAACGTGCTGTTAATTTAACAAACATAAAAGAACTCAACAATCTCAGCAACTACAAGGCACGCTTCTTAACAATTGACCACTTCCACATGGGCAATCGATGCAAAGTTAGTAATTGATAGTAAATTGTGCACACGGTTAACATCAACATCAGCATTCTCATATTTTCTTGTACCAAAGTCAGCCTTAACTTGTCCCACAGCAACAATGTTTAGAAACACAAGCGGTTTATATTTCTGATTCGGTAACTTAGTGGCGTGATCTCAAATCTCGTCTCTCCTATACTTCCTGTCCCACACATACATCAACGCACACCCAGATTAGTAAAATGCACCATTTTGCCGGTGCCCGTCAAATACAGTGGAGGTCATGTGGGTTGGGAGAGGCCTCGAGGCAGCTGGCCTTCATGAGAATCTGGCTTTTGTTTTACTTGAGAAAAGTTTGGGAGGACGTTTTGTGCAACTCGGCATCAATCTGAATTGGACACTGCCTTCCGCATGTGATCTAAAATTAATACATGATGTGGGAACGTAGAAGATCAGAGTCTTTAGATCTTGTTCCATCCGCTTTTGATGTTACTTACCGGTTAAGCCAAGGAAGCCATTTCCAAACAGGGGAAGGAGAACAAACTTTATTTTTGGCCTCACATCTTTTAGTTTAATAGTGTTTACATGACTAAAGCTTTTAAATAAATGCACAAGTTATATTTATATTATTGATCTATTCAACTAAAAGCAAAAGGCACACTGAGCACATTAATGCATCAGTTTTTTTGTACAATTATTATTCTAAGTATATAAGTATCAGTCAGCAGTTGCCATGGTGTTGCAAGGCAAATGTATTTGTGGGCACATTTCACCAACAAGGCATGTGCTTCATGATTTGGAAAAACTTGTCCATGCATTTATCTTCATTAGACTCGACTACTGTAAAGGTGTGTTTACATGACTGTAAAAAGTCAATCAGAAAGCTACAGCGTGAGTCCTCATTACGAAAGTGGATCACAACACACCAGTCCTAACGTCAGCTACTCTATGGAGTTTCAGTACAATATAACTATTATAAGTGACACATGAATTTATGATTAATTAATGCAACTCTTTGTTCTTCTATCCCTGGCAAGAAAAGGAGAAAACTAGGAGCAATGCAGTTGTCACTGGATGCAGAAGAAGAAGAAGAGAAAAAGCGTTCCGTTTGACTCCAAAGAGCAACCTCAGCAACTCATTCAGACATGCTTGAATGGCTTCAGCACTCTCAGTGTTTGCCCGTTTCTTTTATCTCCAATAACTTGAATTTGATTAAACGGTTGCGTAACCGAGCCACAGCACTGATGGCAGCTTTTCAATGGCCAAGGTTTTGCGGTTTGTCACGGTGCAGGTGATCAAAGAGTATGCGCACACACACAGACGACCTCAAACACAGCGTCATGGTAATGCCGATCCTGTGCCAGCACTGAATCACCAGCAAAGCGCAACTTTTTGCATGTGCACTGCAGGTCGATCTTGTATTATTGTCGTGTCCAGTCTAGGAAGGATTTGGCATATTTTGAGTACCTTCTAAAAAGATCCACAGTCCGGTCTGTTGCAGACTTGTGGGGCCATTAATCTCACAACACCAGCCTTGTTAGCAATTTGCTAAGTGACGACATTACTTTCATACTCTTTGGCTCAAAGGTGAGAGTTGAGGAATTATACATTTGTGTTTGCTCCGAGTGGATTTCTGCTGTGTGCAGGATCCTGTCGGAGTGGATGTGCAGAAGGGCATGTATGTAGCATGCATTGAGAAAAGAGTTACACTGCTGAAATACTCTGCAATAAGCCTACAGAGTAATACAATCACGTTTTTAAGCCTGCTTACAAAAAGTCTTTATGAAAATGATGCTGAGGCTCAACCAATAACGTTTTTCCTTATGGAGAAGAACATAAGGAGGAAAAGCAGATGTCCAGCGAGTATGAATTTGAACAAAGGCCCAATACGAACACATTTACTTTATTTGGTTCATGGCCTTTTGAACCAAATATCCACAACCTCCGCCTAGAAAAAGTGCAAGGGAACGCTTCTGGAGTCATCCGATGTGACACAGCACCGTCATGTGAAGTAGCCTGTGCATTTTAGCATTGTCATTGTGAGCATGTTAGCATGCGGGCACTAGCATTGAGATCAAAACTCAAACAGTTACTGCAGACATAGTGCAGGGAGAGTGTAAAGAATGTTTCAGAGTCAGCGATATCGCACCAGAAAAAACAGCAGACGATTGTGACATGTGGCTCCCTGGAGCCATGATGTCATCAGGGTGAGACCACTGGAAGACTGACACCGCGGAGCCATTAGCACAAGGTGGCTGTCATTCTTCGTTAAACTCCCCCCTCAGTTCTCTGGGTCTGCACCCACCACAGGCATGGTCTCCATCACCTAGCAGTGCAGCCATAGCACCTCCATGTCCCGCCTCAAATCCCCCAGCCTCCACTCATGAAGGTCAGGCCGAGGTTAACGGACTCGTGGTGAAGTGTGACAGTGTCACCAAAGAAACAAATAAATGACAAATGACTTGGATCCTTTTTTTAAATTTTAGACCTCCAAGAACTTTTGGTGTTGATTTTGCCAATTCATCTCTATGAAGAGCAAAATCCATTTGAAAGCGGTTGTCTATGTGTATACGTTCTAAGACGTTCTGTATGTCATTGTGTGCTGAATGGTACCGGTCCCATCCGAGGTACCCTCTGCCAGCGTCTTACCAGCTTGCTCTAGTTTACTTCATTTCTATTGCGTACCGATAATCAAACGCTCCTTCATAGTGCTCATTTAGGGAGTCACTGTCTTGAGGAGTCCAAGGA